GGGGGCGCTATTACACATCTTCTGAATGAGTACAAAACCTCCCGAACAAAAACACACGTGAACAGGACGGAGACACGTGCCATCTCTTATGTAAACAGATGCATATGAAAAATAATGCGATCATCAGCAATAGACCGCATATAAATGAAAACTGCATAATGTTACAGAGTAAAATGTTGATCCGGGAAGTGGTATATGTCTGTGCAAGCTTTGGAGGTATTAATGGACGCGATTTACTGGATTTATGCTTTGATAATCTTACTGAATATTATCCAGATGTAGTTTTTGATAAAAATTTGATTTTCTCACCTTTTTGCTCAAAATTATGCAGTTTTGTGAAACCTACCTATATAAGTGTTGATAAAAAAAAGAATGCTTTAAGCTAGAATAAAACTTATTTAAAAACTTATAAACTTGTTTAAAAGTAGAGGCTCTGATCTTTATTTTGCTGTATTGCATATTCAAATATTCATACAGCAAAATATACTGGAGGCCATCAAATTTGAGTGAAAATCATCAAAATCGCTGGCGGTGGCTGGCAACTTTTTTCAAAAATGCTGGCGGGGAAAGAGTTAATTTCGATTTCGATTCCTTTTCAATTAATCATCCAGCCCTACATCAAACTCACATCCGTTTATCATGACTTGCAGTGTTTTATGAGTTTAAGATGCAGTGCAAATGTGGAATAAAAGAAAAAAACTTCCAGTTATAATGCTAAGCGTTTGCAAAGGAAGGCACAAAATAGTTTTATAATTGATGTTAAACTAAAACTTCTATTCACGTCTGATATTGTTGCCACAACAGCTGTCTTGCATCATACTGTGTAAATATTGCGAGATCTTTTCAGGACGGTGTCGGTGTCTCTCTCACCTCTCCCAGGAACTCGCTCTCCTCCTCTCGGACTCTGGCCTGGTCCCACAGCGTGATCTCCAGCATACGCTCCCTGAACTCTCGTCTGTGCACCGGAGAGTACATGAACGTCTGGTTCCACTTGGGCTCCAGAGATTTCTTCACTGTTTTCGTTCTCCTCTTGCTTTTATCGCTGAGAAGAGCAGGTGAGTTCATAATTTACAGCTGCTGATGTGACTTTACAGACCCACAGAGACACTAAACCAATCCTAGGACCCCCGATTTGAAACGTTTTAATTAAACCCACACATTTTTAGACATCATTACACCTAATTATTCATTCATTCATTTTTTTCAGATAAGATTTTTTTTGTTTGTTTCTTACTTACATATGGAATGTATAGCTTTATAGTTGTTATTTCATTTTCCCCAGGTTAAAATCCCTATAAAAGGAGGATTCTGAGGATTGCAATGTATTTCACTAGGTTTTGAAGTCTTGGTTATTAAAGTTTGCTGTCTTCTAAAAAAAAATACACTTTGTGTCCTGAAAATACTCAGTGGGTTTACTATAAAAATGGATAATTAAGCAATTATGTCAATGTGATTTTGAAGGCTTCATGTGCTCACTGTGGATAGACAAACAAATATCTTCACTTCAGCTTTATTTTACGTCTTTAAATTTCTACTTTGACGATTCTCCAACCTCAGATTATTATTCAGTTTTAGAGTCTTCAATATTAAGTGCTTTGTTATTACCAAACAGAAGCAATCACTGATGTTATGGCATAATGCTGCTGTTGTTGCTTTTTCACCCCCTCCTCAAAAAAAAAAAAAAAATAGAATAGATATATTTAGACATTTTCAAATATAACTGACATAATTTTGATATGAATATACATTCATTGTTTTTATATTTTATTTTATTTTTTTATTTTGGAGAATTGCATAAAAATGTAAAAATCCGTTTTTTGGAATTTCTATGCATTAAAGAATTTAGAAAAACAGTAAATCAGCATATTAGGATGACTTCTGAAGGATCATGTGACACTGAAGACTGGAGTAATCATGCTGAAAATTCAGCTTTGCCTCACAGAAATAAATTACATTTTAAAATATATTCAAATAGACAATGGATATTTGAAATGTAAATAATTTTTCACAATATTTATATTTTTACTGTATTTTTGATTAAATAAATTAGAGCTTTGGTGAGACTTCTTTTGAAAACAAAAATGATTATTTTTGAAGGACAAAAACTGGATATATCTGAACTCTGACGTACCTTCTGTCGGGGAGGAAGTAGATTTTGACGTATGGATTCCTAGGTCGCCCGTCTTCTCGTGAAAGCAGGTCTTTGGCGCCCAGGACAGTGACGATGAGCTGATGTCCTACTTTATCGTACCACAGCTTGACCTGCAGGAAGAGACGGGCTCTGTTTGGAGGTCTGTGAGGAGAGCTCACCCCAGAAGGTCCAGGGCAGACCTGCAGAGCTCTTTATGCAATGTGTGCAGCATCACATGCTTGGCAGATCTTTCCCAGAGCAGGAACAGCACCAGCACACACCAACTACATCAAGCTGACTACCTCTCAACTCCTCAGACTCTAATCATCAGCTAAATTCACCACTGAAACAAATACCAAATTCAACTACTTCTAAGCACTGAATCACATAGTTTGACAGCACAGTGTTTAAGGGGTCTGACTTTATACTGTCCTCGATATTCCAGGTTAAATACAGCTTCTTTACTATAGACTATAATTGTGACTTGTATCTCAGTTTGTAACCTATTTATTTATATTTATTTAAACAGTACTGCAATTACTACAGGGCAAGGCACTGTACCAGGATACAAACTGAGGGACGAGTTTCTGGAATAATGTATGCCACTGATTGACACCAATTGACTTAAAATTGCATTGAACCCAGAATATTCTTGTCTATGATTTGTGCCATCTGGCATGTTGGGCTGCAGGTGACAGGATGTGAACAGTTGTTTGTGTGCTGCCAGTCTGGGCTGTGGAATATCCCATCCCTCATTGACTGGCCAGGGGATGAGGGCGTGTCTGCCACAGGTCTCGTCCAATCAGATGAGCCGAAAGTAATCACAATTTGTCACATTTACTCTAAAACTGACAGACACTTTCAAAGCCCAGCAATCCAAATCAAATAACATATCACACAACAGAACAGAGATGTAACAAAAATGAAAAATACTCAAACTTTGTGTGATTATCTGATTTCAACCCAAAGCAGAATTTAAACGAAGCAGCTTTGAAAGTCTCAGTGGCAGCTATCTGGGAACGAATTCAACTAAAGATTCAATCTCACACATGCATCTATTCTTACACAGTAAATAAATCCTAAAAAAAAAAAAAACGGTAAAAACAGGAAGGGCGAACACTGGAAGACTGCAGGAAGCTTATAAATGTATGGAGAAGTATGTACTTTATTGAAAAAATCATATATTTTTAGAAATAATCCAATCAGTGTTAATGATTTAAATCTGCCTATTTATGTATTAAATAATTAAATGCACCAATTTGTTTGTAATATTTCAACAAACTTATAATAATATCCATAATTTATTCCCCAGCATTTGCCCTTCCAGATCACTAGAGCTGAAAGAAACACACGTCTACAATGCACCTTTAGAGAGAACTTGCTGTTCTAGATAGATACTCCAGTACTAATGCATGCAGCAAAGCAACAGAAAGAGCTCAATACAGACTAGAGCAAGCCAGGTAGCTTCCATTGCAAAAACAGCAGGGGGAAGGCTTCAGTCCAAACAAATTGTACCGTTTGTACGTCTACAGACGTATCGAGGTCTGTGCTTTTATTAGTTGACTGCATCAGGAAACAGAATGAAATCCATTTTCGTCTAAAACTCCATTTTTGAAAACTACAAAAGTTTTTGCCGTTAAATGGAAGATTCCTCATGTTGTTACTTTTTTTCTTTGTGGAACAGATTTTTTTCTTAATTTTAAATAATTAAAAAATAAAAAATATAAATTTTTAAAATAATAAAATAAATAAATG